CAAATTTAGATCCTTTACAGCTGTGAAGGCCCTACCTTTGTTTCATACTATCTATGAACCTGTAGTATTTTAATGGCGAACTCTTTGGGGCTCCAATGTTTCGGTGTGTTTCGAGCCTGGTGTGGCACTAGGGCTTGGGATGCTCGAGGATTGGCCCTTCAAGGCTTGGTGGGCCTGGTGTGATACCAGGACTTAGGATATTCAAGGGTTGGTTCGTCGAGGCTTAGTAGGGCCTGCTGTGATATCAGGGTTTGGGGTGCTCAAGGGTTGGTCCCTCGAGGCTAAGTGGGCCTGGTACGATATTAGGGCTTGGGGTGCTCGAGGGTGGACCTAGTATGATACCGAGGCTTGGGGTGCTCGAGGGTTAGCCTCTCGAGGCTTGGTGGGCCTGGTCTGATACCAAGGCTTGGGTGCTCGAGGGTTGGCCCCTCGAGGCTTGGTGGGCCTAGTGTGATACCAGGACTTGGGATGTTCGGGGGTTGTTCCCTTGAACTTTTTGACTTTTCAATTCTACCATGGGGCTTTGATTAGAATTATATTGGCTTGTCAACGTGCTACGTCAGCGTTTGATAAGTGACACCCACAAGATTTAAGATTGGTTTGTACCTGTAACGACCCGAACCAGTGGGTCCGGACCGTTAATCGGGTCCTTGCCCGAACCCGAGGTCAACTAGGTCATACCACTACTCTTCTAAGTCCACACCTATCATACAGGTCCATCTAAGGTTCCAAATCATTTCCATAAACAACTTTGCCAAAAGGATCAACTGTCACAGGTCGAAAGGCAATGACCAGTCGGCTGATAGCCCTTCATCGGCCTGCTGACGAGGCAGGATCAGCCCGCTGACCTACAGGGTCGATCGGCTAAAACGATAGGGCAAAAATTTGCTCTCGGGACTTTCACCGTTTCAACCGTCGGTCAACTGATGATAGGGGATTCGTTCGGTTGATGGTGAGGATCAGCCGGCCAAAACATGGCCCTAAACCCTGAAACTCACTGGAATGGCCACTGGTTGTGCTTTTAAAATACTAAACCTATATCGGACCTGTTTTGCAACCCATTTCCGAATTCATAGCAACAATATGAGTTATAATACAATTAAACGGCATCAATAACTTGTCAAAACATAGCCCCCCTTTCCCATTCATCATAGTATTTACATTGTATCTCAATTTCCTCCAAAATACCAACAAAAGTTATGATTTATAATATATGACCTTGGCTTGCAAAAATGAATACACAATAATCTAGTTTAAGACTATACAAAAGAATGGGCTATGATACAAAAGATAACAAAATGCAACTTCTAATCTTCTTCAAGCTTGTGGAGGATTATCATCCGCCACTTCTTTTCCGAGTCCTGAAAAATGTTAAATAATGGGGTGAGCATAAAGCTCAGTAGGTAGTGCCTAAGACATACCTCTTGTGACCCCGTGAATCCAAATAATGAATAGGGATAAAGAATTAGGGGTCATGCTTTACTGGGAGAGTAAACGACATTTAATTCCAACTCATAAATAAACAATGTCATGCCATGAAGTATGATACCATGCTTAAAATCACTTTCATTCTTCACTTTTCAAACCGTTAATGTAACCCGTCCCTCGGTACCCCCTTGGCGACACGAGAGAAGAATTGGCTACTGTCCTTGACCCTTGGTAACCCCGCGGCGTCATTTAGAGCCTAAATAGCTCAACTACGATAGAGCAGTTTCCCTAATTCCCTCTAGGTTATACTAACGCCACGGACCCTCGGTACCCCCTTGGCATCCAGGTTTTTCACAAAATCCATTTCTCAAACATTTTTCCCAAAAACCCCTTTTTTATTTCATTTCAAATCATTTCCCTTCATTCATTCCCAATGACATGTATGTATGTCTCATGCTTTCAATACTATGAAAATAAGAAATCTTCCTATAACACAATTAAGCATTTTTTACCAAAAATTCAAAGAAAAACATATATGTTTACATACATCATTTCTAGCCAGTGAACAACACAATAGATATAGAAAATCAACATTTAGGCATGTTTTTCATACAAATCAACAACACATACATATATAATCATGAACCTTATACACCATAATAAAATCATTCTAGGGGTAATTAACATCAATTAAACATGTTAGCAACAATTAACAAGAAATTAACTCACAAAGGAATAAGAAAATATGAATTAGAGACCCCTACCTCTAATTGGATGAAAAGCCCCTATTTCCACCTCAAACCCTAGGACTTAAAGATCCCTCAATTGAAGGTCAAATGGGAATAGGCTTCAATTTACCGCAAACGGTACTTAAAAATACTAAGTATTGAGAGAGAGATCAAATTTTGAAGATTTGAAGTAAAAGGAAAAAAAAAAAAAAAAGAAGAGAAAATGAGAGGGAGAGAGACCTGCGGGAGTGAGAGAAAGAAAAGGGAAAGTGAGGCCAAAAATAGGCCTTTTGGTCCTTTTTCTAAATAAACATGTGGGTCTCACTAAGTTTTTTTTATTTTTTTTTTATTTTTTTATTTTTTTAATTCTCAACATACACAGAGAAATACACCATAATTAAAAATGAATATGATATAAATAGACTCAATCAAAATATCCATATATAACAATTCTAAAAAAATGCAGAAATAAACACCTTTGTATTTCCAAAGTCCTGAACTCAATGAAATGCCTCAAATAATTCTCTGACACAACCAGTACACTATGTAGTAGTATACTATACATAAAACCGTAAAAGATAAAAAATATCCTTAACGACAAAAATTTTCCAAAAAATAAAAAAGGCCAAAAAAATTGAACACATCGCAGTACCTATATGGTTTCTTCAATCACCTGCGATAATGCGAAACACGATTTTTTCTACCAGGGAGAGAAACAGCTAAATCAATTATCACCACAAAAACCAATAAACAACAACCGTACACGTGGCAGTAAAATGAAACAGATTGCTACAGAACCATCGAGATAAGTACACCTCAACATTTCTCCCCATCGCCCGTAAGTTTGTGCTCAACGCAGCTAGCTATTCAACTATTGAGTCATGGCGATCGAGGTAGGTGATGATAATATATATATATATATATATATATATATATATATATAAATTAAAATTATTTTCAGTTGCTTAATCACAATTCTAATTTATTGAATTATATTGATTTTAATTGACGGTTTCCAAATCAGGCATGGTTCATGGAAGAGAGTGATGAGGATAAGAGGCTGCCTCATCATCGAAACCCTAAAGAGTTTGTTTCTTTGGACCACCTTGCAGGTCATCAATATTCTCTCCATCTTAACTCTCTCTCCCTAAGACTTTCACTTTCTCTCTCTAGAATTCACAGTGCCAATTATACAGATCTCGGAGTCCTGTACTGGCATTTGAACCCAAAGGATTATGAGAAGGATGAGGAATTGCAGAAGATCAGAGAAACCAGAGGCTACAATTACATGGTATTTTCCTTAAATTTTGCAAACACTAATAGTAAAATTATAAATAGATATATAATACAGTACTAGTATGAGTATTTTGTAGGATATGCTTGATTTGTGCCCAGAGAAGGTAGATAATTACGAGGAGAAACTGAAGAACTTTTATACGGAGCACATACACGAGAACGAAGAGATACGCTACTGTCTTGATGGTTGCGGTTATTTCGATGTTCGAGACAAGGATGACCGTTGGATTCGCATATGGATCAAGGAGGGAGATCTCATCATCTTGCCAGCTGGCATTTACCACAGGTTTACCCTGGATACCAGTAACTACGTGAAGGTAAAAAATTACTCTCATTTAATTATGAAATTTTAATTAAATATTTTAAGAGTCTTTTAAAAGTAAAATATACGACGCCACCACTAATAGGTAATTTTTTTTTAATCTCCAATAGTCTGTTGAGATACATAAATGTATAAAATTGTTATGTATTTTATACAGTTATATTATCATATTTTATTTTTTCTCCTTTTTATATTTTTATACAAAAAGTTTAAAATAACTGTTGAGCTCAAAATAAATAATTTAAATTTTTAGTGTAAATTTATTATGACATATTATATTTACACAAAAAAATATATATATATATACATATATACACAAACATTGGAGATGTTCTAATATGATACTCTTGCTGCCCCCACAAAAAATTTTTAAAAATAGTAGAGTGGATTTTGAATTGGAACAATTATTTTGGAAAGGTGGATAATTTTTTTTTGTAAAATTATACCATCAACCAACATTTATCAAATATGAAAAGGAAGAGTCAGAAGAAATGATTCCATTCCCTTATTTTTAGTTATCGGAACTGAGAGATATGGGAATACAAATGCATATAGATACAAATGGTCCAATGGGAGCAAGTATTTCCATAATCATTTGGAATTTTTCGTTTCGAAGCGGAAGAGTTGTTTTCTAGCAGTGCTAGATCGATTACGTATTAATCAATATTAGGTTGATTGGTACGAGGTTGTTGACAAAAAAAAATGTCTAACCCACTTCGTTCTCTCTAGTCTATACTTACATTTTAGGGGATGACATACACAACTGAATTACAACAGTGTTTCACTATTTGTGTGTGTTGCAGTTGATGAGGTTGTTTATGGGAGAGCCGGTATGGACTGCGTATAATCGACCGCAGGAGGATCATCCGGCGAGGAAGGAGTACGTCAACAGCTTCACTGATAAGGTGGGAGTGGCACTTGAAGCTCATTAGGGCTCATTTGTGTGATTTTACGAGTATTGATTGATTATTATGTATGACATACATACTTAGATGTTACATATGAAGGTTATTTGCTACTTTAATGGCTATTGTGAAATGTAGAACCGAACTCCTGTGGACAAAATAATAGTGTTATTGCCATTTGAATCATATGTGGGTTTCATTTTTGTTCTTTTTTGGTTACGCTGCACCTCATTTGATTTTTTATAACTCAGATGACGCAATTACCTCTCAAGCTGAAGTGACTCTCCGATAATTAAATGTAACGTTTTAAAAAGATGATGATTGTAGAAAGACATGAATGCACTGTGTAGATGGACTAATTTGCAGTCTTACATTGCAATCTTATTTATCTAGAACCACGGAGACAGAAAAGCAGAAAACAAAATGTCTTTCAAGTGCAAGATTCATGTTTTAGCATATATATGATCTGTAAATAGTTATATTTTGGTAGGGGTATTTGCTGATTTATAAGAGTATTTAGCTATGGAAGCGAGCTCTCTTTCTCCGGTCACTTCATCAATGGGGATTGCATCGGAAATTTCCTTCAAATCCTCCTGCGTAAGCTTCACTGTCAGAGATCCGATGTTATCATCGAGGTTCTTAATCCTAGTTGTCCCTGTATGAGAATTACAACCATCCCAGCAATCAAAATCCCCACATTATAAGCCATAAACAGGTTTTTTTCAAAAGTAAGAATTCCTAAGATTAAAAAAAAAAAAAGGCACATATGCAATTGCCCGAACCTTTTACTGTAGTAACATTCAATGAGGAAAATAATAATTATGCATTCTTTTATACACACGCATACAGACATGAACTTATGCATGAGATTTCTCCATGAACTCACACTACACAGTTTAAGATTGCTGAGTTAGGCACAGAAATATCAAAGAGTATAGTTTTTGTCATGTGCAGGGAAGCCAATAATATTTATTGACATTAAAAAAAAAAAAAAAAAAGGTGCACACACACATATGTTAACACAATGATGAAAGAGGACACATAATATACCAGGGATTGGAACCACGTCGTCTCCTTGATGGAGAAGCCATGCCAGAGCCAGTTGAGGAGGGGTGCAGGCATGTTTTGCAGCCAAGTTAGCAAACCGACCGTACAAAATTTTGTTCTTCTCCAAATTTTCCCCAGTAAACCTCGGATGCATAGTCTACAAAAGACATCAAATGATTATGAATAACCGGAGTTAAATGGTACAAGCCCTCATCTCCCATTCTTGGTGTAAAAACAAGAGATTCCCCCTTTCAGGGGGTCTGGATTGGTTGACAAGCAAGATATGAACCCAGATGTCATCTCTTGTGCAAGTGATACCATTCTAAAAAAGTAATCATATAATTTCCATTATGTGTAAGTTTAAGATAACACACTTGATACTAGCATGGAACAGAGAAAATCGAAGTGAATTAATAGACTGCAGTAACGTACCAACAAACTCCCCTCGGGCAAACTTTCCACAACTGCCTTCCCACCAAAGAACCCGTGACCAAGAGGGCTGTAACCTACTATCCCAATACCAAGCTCCCTGGGTTGAAGAGGTACGAAAAGTTGCAAAATTTAGTAAGTTCATATAAATTGTTTGAGTTGCCTTTTGCTCTGTTCTTAACATATTTATTCCACCCAAGACCAAAAGTTTCCACCTAGAAAAGCAATGGGTTTGGTTTTATGCATGACACAGAGAAAGAGCTAGATATCAACTGACCGACAAAGTGGAATTATATCCTCTTCGATTTCACGAGTCCACAGAGAGTACTCCATTTGTACAGCAGTAATAGGATGAAGAGCATGTGCCCTCTTTAAAGTGTCTACACTAGCTTCAGACAACCCGATGTATTTTACCTTTCCCTCCTCCACTAGCTTCTTCAGCTCTCCCATATTGGGTTTTATGATTAATTAAAAATGAATCAGATAATAAATTTAGTACATAGATTAATGGAATGAATATTGTTAAGAGTAACCAATAAATAGAATTTCTCTGGCACTTACTGTATCTTCTATTGGCACTGATGTGTCCACACGATGCTGATAGTATAGATCAATATAATCCACATCAAGTCGCTTGAGACTTGCTTCACAGCACTCCCGCACATATTCAGGGGTACCTCTCACCACAAAATGACCAAATTCCGGCATGGTGATGCCAAATTTAGTTGCCAGTTGAACCTGTTCCCGGGGAAGCTGCTTCAATGCCTTAAAGTATGAGAAAAGAGTACTAAATCAGTAAAATATAAGATAATAAATGTAAGCCAGCCCATACTTCATCTGTAAGATGTGTATCTCAACAACACCTAACGCAGTGATACCATACCAAGTATGTTGCACAATTGGTTTCAAATACGTAAAAAATTCATGACCAAAATGAGGATGCAGTAATAAATTGACCTAATATTTTATCTTTGTGATTTATGTTGTCTCTTTCTCAATTGCTCTGCCAATGTACCTTTCATTGTAAACTGAGAGGCAGAGCGATAAAAGTTAATGAAGAACTGCATTAAACATTGGACAATACTTGCATCCAACCCAGGTTGGATGAAGTTTGTCCAACCTGGGTACGTGGCCCAATTTTAAGGACCAAAATATCCTACCTTCTCCCTCTTCATTCTCTGTCACTGCCTCTCACAATCTTCATTGTGCAATTCTTTGCAATCTCGTCCGTAATGACACCAATTGGTAAGAAACTCTCTCCGATGTCGTGACGACCGGCCATTTTCGATCATTGGGTACTCACAAATCCCTCACTTTTTTCCTAAAGCACCATTAGAAAGCATGGGTATTTTTGCTTGAATGTTCATGTTCACAAAGACAGAGAAACGGAGAATCCCGGTCCTTGATGACCCATCCACCTTGATGGAGGAGGATCGATGTGCAGTGTCCTCCTTCACCCACCGCCGCGCATACCTCCGCTGCAACATCAGATCGTACCACTGATCCCTCTTCATTCTCTCTCTACATCTTCTCCTTCATCGCACCGCCGCGCCGACCTCCGCCGCACCACTGCCAGCCTTTCTTTCTAGTAATTCTCCCCAAGCAGTCAGATCGTACCCAAATCAGCTGCCCAAATCAACTCACCTTCACCCAAATTAGAGCTCCTCTGCCAATTACAAACCCAAACATACCACTGCTCACCCACCAAACACAACTCCATCACCAATTATAAACAAGACCAAATTAGTCCCATACGTTCGCCCAAATCAGAGCTCGCCGTCCAGTAGATTGTACTCCTCGCGATCTCTCTCATATATGTGTGTGTGTACATATATATATACATGCAAACACATACCCATTTATATATATACCCAATTTATGTATAATATTGGGTATATGTCCTCCCAACAATTCTGTGTGCAAATATGTGTATGTGTATGTGTATGTGTATACATGTGTGTATAATCTTATATGTATATATATCACAGAGAGTTGGTGGTGGTAAGCGGCGGCGACAACCTTGATGATGGTATAGGGTGTCTGAGACATGGGTGAAGGAGAAGAGGTAGAGAGAGAATGAAGAGGGGGAAGATAGGGTATTTTGGTCCTTAAATTGTTAGAGTAACGGGTCAAACCCGAATTAAGTTGGGTATTACCCAACTTAATTTAAAATTTATTTTTTTTGGACACATGTCGCTATATGATTGGGCCACGTACCCAGGTTGGACAAACTTCATCCAACCTGGGTTGGACGCAAGTATTGTCCTTAAACATTTACTACGTTCTCCTGTAGTTTATTCCATCATGATGTATTTACTAAATTCAGGTTTGAAGTTAGGTATAAATTTGTCTAAAAAGAAGGTACCTTGCCAATCATGATCTCATTGTCATGACTATCTCCATAAATGTCAGATGTATCAAAGAAGGTGATACCCTTATCAAAAGCCTCCTTTATAATTGAACATCCAACATCATGTGAGAGAGGAGCATTTAACATTCCAGAAAGTCCCCCGCATCCAAAACCTAGTCTAGAAACCTGCAGACAGAGGACACCATCAGACAGATATTGTTGCCTTTATTTGATTAAGTATACATTCTAAGGTATTATTCAGCCCATATTCAAATTTTCACATGCATGGTCTACTGGGAAAATTAATCATGAACAAAACTTGCAAATTTCACTCTTTCTTTTTTCTTTTTCTTTTTCTTTTTTTATAAGTAACAAATTTCACTGTTTCTTATGCATGTAGTCGCTAACGTGGGGGCTTTCTGTAAAGTTCAAAATTACTTGCATCAAAGCAGCAGCGAGAATAAGGTATAGCTGACAAAATACTGAGTGATATGGACCATATGGTTAAAATAGGTAACCTTCTTCGCAGTAATTTGTATGAACTTCAGCCAAAACTACATATTATCAAACCCCTAAGTTTTATCTTAAGTTCAATTCCTATAATCAAATTTGGAGGGGAGTTTAAATACATATTAATTTTCACATTTGTGAAGCAAATCATTACATACCAAAATAGCAGGTATTATGAAAGCACTTTTTCGCTTCTTTTATCTTTGTTTGCATAAATTAAAACTTTACACTTTAGGGTAACTAAGAATCTTCAGCTGCAGTCAAAACAGTGTGGTATCCAAACAAGCCCTGAGTACTTCAAAGTATGCAGTTACCACTAGTCCAAACTAGCACTTTATGCAGTCCCAGGAACATTAATGTGGCATAAAAGGAACATTTAGCAATTTGCAAACAAACTTCTAAGAATATTGTGATGGAACAAGGCGAAGGGGTTTAGTAAATTTACCTCGGGTTTAATTGTGTAGAAAATCTACTTAACAGATAAGAAAGATCACCAAACAGCAGACTGAGAATGTGCAAAAAGCTGAGGACGTGTATTTGAGTAAACAGAAAGTTTTTCCTTGTCAATTTTGATTGAACAAATGACAACGCAAAGTACAAAGAGATTCAACCGAAACCTCCTCTTTATATGATCCAAGTTCTCTTTAAATACATTTACTAGAGTAAATAGTCTAGAGGCCCAACAACACTGAAATAAAGAATTTACAGCCTGAAGAGAAGAGACTTCAGTTGTCAAATTTATCAACAAAAAACTGCATTACAATGTATAAGAAAACATGCTGCGCACACAATTGACACAGAATTGAAGTACCCAAGTGAAGTTTAACATGCTGCACACACAATTGACAGAAAATTCAGAAATGAGTGTTGGGTGTTGCTAATTATTAGTAATCCACATGGGTTTGGGGGTAGAAAAGAATTAAAGCTTTTATTATTATTTATTTTTACCTCCAAGCCTTGAGTACCCAATTTCGCTCTGGGGACTTGGATCTGGGACTTGTGCTCCATTTCTCTTCAACTTGGTTGAATCTGCTGCAATTAATGAAAACGGAAATATTAACCCTCCGTTTTAAATGAGAGAAAGGAAAATAAATAAAAAAAAAAGAGAGCAGGGGAAAAGAAAAAACATACGTTATAGATAAGGTTGTGTTTGGGTGTGGGTGCTTGACTGAAAAGAGAGAGTGACGGATTATGAAGAAAAAGGAAGAGAAAAACGAAGGAATTTCAAGAGAGAAACCTATTCCTTCTTAATTTGAATTGAGATGAAAATTCTCTACTATTCCCTAAAATGGTGTATTGAATGGAATGGAATGGAAGATGCTAGATTACATAATGCAATCTAAGTGGGACATCTGAAGCTGAAAAGTCCTGGTTCTATCACATCACACTACCACTGTGTTTGGTAAAGAAGAAAGAAGACTATGAGTCCATGACTAACCTCCCAGTGACGATGGTAAGAATCGTGTTGATAGTGGATGCTACTCCATTTGTCTGCTAATTTACCTCCCACATAACTCTATACTTATACTTCCCACCCAACAAATATTAGCTTCACTATTATCCAGATTTGTCGCCGGAAGAGAATGAAAATATTTTGAAAAAACGAGAGAAGAAATTGGACAAAACAATGTCTCTTTAGGCTAAAACCTAAAAGGATAGAATAATCTAGTCAAAACAAAAATTAGTCACAGTACCCAATAAATTGTATTAGTAGTAAAACTCAATATGATTGGTCATAGGACCAGTTAATTAAATTTAGAAACCCAATAAATAATCATGAAATAAATGACCATAAACATTATTACTAAATGACTTTATATCACATTGAAAAATCAATGGATTATAATGTGGAACAAAAGGTTTTATATAGATAATTTAAAATAGTATTGTAATGATCAACCTTTTCTCCATGCTATTTTTTTTTTATATAAATCTCGATTTATTGAAAACGGATAAAACACAAAAATAGCTATACATCAAATCTAAAAATACTGGGACAGCAGATACACCAATATAATAATAAAATATCATATTTTTGGGTATAAATGTTCCATAACATTGTGTATGTAAATGTGATTAGTGATCACGAATATGTTCAGGAGCAATTAGACGAAAAAAAAAAAAAAAACTCTCAACTTGAATGACTCAAATTATACATCCTTTCTTTTTCTGTCTCTCACTACTCTGATGACTGTTGATTAATGTTGCTTTTAAGTCCTTTTAATTTCATTTTCTTGTAAGGAATAATCTTTTTGTTATAAAAAGACCATTATTTTTAAAATATTTACAATTTTGCCCAACCATAATCCGAGAATATCCTGTTGTATCCTTAGAACACAACACGAGCACCACAAACCACAAACAAAGCCAACACACAACACAAAAAGCATCTCACATTTCTTACTTCATAAAATGGTTTCTTTGGCATGGGATTTCACAAAAAACCAGTTGAATATCATCCAAGAGTTATACACCGAACAGAATAAACTTGCAGAGGATTTGGTTGACACTGTTATTTTTTATTTGTGCAAGTAACTATTTATTGTGTGACCATGGAGACAGAAAAGCAGAAAACAAAATGTCTCATTGTACAAAGGTTCATATTTTGGTAGGGGTGTTGGCCAATCTATAACGGTATTCAGATAAGCCAACGTGTTCGCTTTCTCCAGTCACTTCATCAATTGGAATTGCATCGGAAATTTCCTTCAAATCCTCCTGCGTAAGCTTCACTGTCAGGGATCCGATGCTATCATCAAGGTTCTTAATCTTAGTTGTCCCTGTATATTATCAAAATGAGAATTAGAACCACCCCAACAATCAAAATAACACATTATGCGTTCAACCACATTCATAACCTATATACAGGAACAGATACAATTGACCTTAACCTTTTACAGTAGCAATATTCAATGCAAAACAATGGAAAATTATGCAATTAAATACATCTTAAACACATTCAGGGAAGAAAACACACACACACATATGTTAACGCAATTCTGAAAGAGCACATGATATACCAGGGATAGGAACCACATCGTCTCCTTGATGGAGAAGCCATGCCAGAGCCAGTTGAGGAGGGGTGCAGGCATGTTTGGCAGCCAAGTTGGCAAACCGACCGTACAAAATTTTATTCTTCTCCAAATTCTCCCCAGTAAACCTTGGATGCATAGTCTACAAAAGACATCAAAAGATCATGAATAACCAGAGTTAAATGGTACAAGACCTCATGTCATCTTGTGTGTAAGTGCCATTTTAAGGAATAAATCGTACAATTTCCATTAGGAAAATGTCCATCTTGGTCATCTCTGAATCAGAATAAATAGCAGGACTCTTTACATTATGCGTAGTAAGTTTAAGACACTATACTTGAATGCAACAGAGAAAATCAAAGTGAAATTAATAGATTGTAGTAACATACCAACAAACTCTCCTTAGGCAAACTTTCCACAACTGCCCTCCCACCAAAGAACCCTTTACCAAGAGGGCTATAACCCACTATCCCAATACCAAGCTCCCTGCATTGAAGAGGTAGGAAAAGTTGCAAAATTTATGAAGTTAATATAAAATGTTTGAGTTGCCTGTTCTTAATATATCTATTCCAACCAAGACCAAAAGTTTTCACCTAGAAAACATATAGGTTTGGTTTTATGCACGACACAGAGAAAGAGCTAGATGTCAACTGACCGACAAAGTGGAATAATATCCTCTTCGATTTCACGAGTCCACAGAGAGTACTCCATTTGTACAGCAGTAATAGGATGAACAGCATGTGCCCTCTTTAATGTGTCTACACTAGCCTCAGACAACCCGATGTATTTTACCTTTCCCTCTTCCACTAGCTTCTTCAGCTCTCCCACCTTAGGTATTATGATTAATTAAAAATGAATCAGATAATACATTTAGTACATTGATTAATGGAATGAATACTGTTAAGAGTAACCAATAAATAGAATTTCTCTGGCACTAACTGTATCTTCTATTGGCACTGATTTGTCCACACGATGCTGATAGTATAGATCAATATAGTCCACATCAAGTCGCTTGAGACTTGCTTCGCAGCACTCCCGCACATATTCAGGGGTACCTCTGACCATAAAATCACCAAAATTTTTCATGGTGAGGCCAAATTTAGTTGCCAATTGAATTTGTTTCCGGGGAAGCTGCTTCAACGCCTTGAAGTATGAGAAAAGAGTACTATATCAGTAATAATAAACGTAAGCCAGCGCATACTTCATCCACGAGATGTGTATCTCAACACCACCTAACACAGTGACACCATATCAAGTGTGAGGATGAAGCTTCAATTATTAGCACTGTTGAGGGATATTTTCAGGAACTGTACAGATCAGGTAGCAAGACTGATTTTGAGGATAAAAAGATAATGAAGAACTTCACTAAACATGTACTTCCTGTAGTTTATTTCATTCTTATGTATTTGCTAAATTCAGATTTGAAGTTAGACATAAATTTGTTTAAAAATAAGGTACCTTGCCAATCATAATTTCATTGTGATGATTATCTCCGTACATGTCTGATGTATCAAAGAAGGTGATACCCTTATCAAAAACCTCCTTTATAATTGAACATCCAACATCATGTGAGAGAGGAGCATTATATACTCCAGAAAGTCCACCGCATCCAAAACCTAATCTAGAAACCTGCAGACAGAGGACACCATCAGACGGATATTGTGTTCTTTCTTTGATTAAGTATACTTGCTAACGGACTTACTTGGCCTATATTACAATTTTCACATGCATGGTCTAGTTGGACAATTAATCATATGAACAAAAATTGCAAATTTCACTGTTTCTTATGCATGAAGTTGCTATCGTGGGGGATTTCTTTAAAGTTCACAATTACTTTCATAAAAGCAGGAGCAAGAAAAAGGTATAGCTGACAAAAACTCAGTGATATGATTAAATTAGGTACCCTTCTTAGTAGTAGATTGTGTGAACTTCACCCAAAATCACATATTATATAACTCCTAAGTTTTATCTCAAGTACAATTTCTATAATCGAATTTGGAGGGGTGTTTAAAAACATAAATTTTCACAATTTTAATAGCGATTCAGTACATCCAAAATAGCAGGTACTCTGTTAGTGTTTTATGAAAGCACTTTTTTCACTAAGCACTTTTTTAATAGCAATTCAGTACAACTTCTCCTTCTGTTTTCAATATTATGAAAGCACTTTTTCCCTTCTTTTATCTTTGTCTGCATAAATTAAAACTTTATACTTCAAGGTAAGTAAGAATGTTCCACTGCAGTTTTTGCCAAAAAGTGTGGTATCCAAACAAGCCCCGAGTAGTTCAAAGTATGCAGTTCCATGGACATGAATGCGGCATTAAAGGAACATTTGGAAATGTGTCGAACAAACTTCTAAGAATATCATGACTCATGAGGTGAAAATGGGAAGGGGTTTAGTAAAATTACCTCAGGTTTAATTGTGTAGGAAAGCTACTTATAAGCTAAGAAAGATCACCAAACAGCAGACAGATAGTGTGCAAAAAGCTGAGGACTTGTATTTGAGTAAACAGAAAGTTTTTCCCAATTATTGCCTAATGGTCATATTGGCTTAATCAAATAGCCTACAATTTGAATGTCCTAAACCTTCAATTTTAGATACACAAGATCGGCTTGTAAATGCCGTTTCTTTTTTATTAATCACCAGAAATGTTATTGTCATTTTTTTCCTATTAAGATACTTGACAAATTTTATTCAGCACATGAGTAGTTTCCTTGTGATAATGGTTAAATGAAGTGCCCTTCTTAGTAATAAAGTGTATGAACTTCAGTGGAAATCACATAGTATCTAACTCCTAAGTTTTGTCTTAACTATTACAATACCTAGAATTTAATTGGAGGGGAGTTTAAATTACAAATTTAATAGCAGTTCATTACATAACAGAAAAAGCAGGTTTTTGTTAGTGTTTTAAGTTTGAATTGACCACTTCTCTTTTAAATTAATTTTTTAAAATTTTTTATTTTGCTAATTTTATCTTCGTCTCCATAAATTATACTTGAAGGTAACCAGACAATCTTCAGCTGCAGTTTCTAATACAAAACAGTGTCGTATCCAAACAAACCCCGAGTAGTTCAATGTATACAGTTAATTCTAGTCCAAAATACATGAGTGTGGCATAAAAGGAACATTTAGCAACATGTCAAACAAACTTCTAAGAATCTTATGGTGTAACAAGGGGAAGGACTCAATTAAAATTACCTGGGATTTATTTTGTGTAGAAAAGCTACTTTATCACCTAACAAAGACCACCAAACAGAACACTCATAATGTGCAAAACAAGTGAGGACTAATCTTTGGGAAAACAGAAACTTTTGCCAATTATTGATCCCTAATGATCATATTATCTTTAACCATGTAGCCTAGTGATTTGAATATTCTAAAGCTTCAATTTTAGATACACAAGATGGATTTGTACATGCCCATTCTCTTTATATTTTCTTTTTTAGTCACCAGCAATATTATTGTCAGATTTTATTTTACTTTATTTTATAATAATTTACTTGTTAATATTTATTAAACATGACATGACAACCCAAAGTGCCTAAGAGAGAGGAAAAGATTAATAGCTTTTTGCACACTATCTGTCTGCTGTTTGGCCTATATTCGAATTTTCACATGCATGGTCTAATTGGACAAATAATCATGAACAAAACTTGCAAATTTCACTGTTTCTTATGCATGAAGTTGCTAACGTAGGGGATTTCTTTAAAGTTGACAATTACTTGCATAAAAGCAGGAGCAATAATAAGGTATAGCTGACAAAAACTCAGTGATATGATTAAATAAGGTACCCTTCTTAGTGGTGGATTGTGTGAACTTCACCCAAAATCACCTATTATATAACTCCCAAGTTTTATCTCAAGTACAATTTCTATAATCGAATTTGGAGGGTGTTTAAACACATAAATTTTCACAATTTTAATAGCAATTCAGTACATACCAAAATAGCAGGTATTCTGTTAGTGTTTTATGAAAGAACTTTTTCACTATTAGTGTTTTAACTGTTAGTGTTTTATGAAAGCACTTTTTTAATAGCAATTCAGTACAACTTCTCCTTCTGTTTTCAATATTATGAAAGCACTTTTTCGCTTCTTTTATCTTTGTCTGCATAAATTAAAACTTTATACTTCAAGGTAACTAAGAATTTTCTGCTGCGGATTATAATGCCAAAAAGTGTGGTATCCAAACAAGCCCCAAATGTTCAAACTATAACTTTAGCAGTTCCATGGACATGAATGTGGCATTAAAGGAACATTTGGCAATGTGTCAAACAAACTTCTAAGAATATCATGACTCATGAGGTGACAAGGGGAAGGGGTTTAGTAGAGTTACCTCAGGTTTAATTGTGTAGGAAAGCTACTTATAAGCTAAGAAAGATCACCAAACAGCAGACAGATAGTGTGCAAAAAGCTGAGGACTTGTATTTGAGTAAACAGAAAGTTTTTCCCAATTATTGCCGAATGGTCATATTGGCTTAATCATATAGCCTACAATTTGAATGTCCTAAACCTTCAATTTTAGATACACAAGATCGGCTTGTAAATGCCGTTTCTTTTTTATTAATCGCCAGAAATGTTATTGTCATTTTTTCCTATTAAGATACTTGAAAAAATTTTATTCAGCACATGAGTGGTTTCCTTGTGATAATGGTTAAATGAAGTGCCCTTCTTAGTAATAAAGTGTATGAACTTCAGTGGAAATCACATATTATCTAACTCCTAAGTTTTGTCTTAACTATTACAATACCTAGAATTTAATTGGAGGGGAGTTTAAATTACAAATTTAATAGCAGTTCATTACATAACAGAAAAAGCAGGTTTTTGTTAGTGTTTTAAGTTTCAATTGACCACTTCTCTTTTAAATTCCCTTTTTTTTTTTTTTTTTTTTTGCTACTTTTATCTTCGTTTGCAGAAATTATACGTCAAGGTAACCAGACAATCCCGAGTAGTTCACTCTATACAGTTAATTCTAGTCCAAAATACATGAGTGTGGCATAAAAGGAACATTTAGCAACATATGTCAAACAAACTTCTAAGAATCTGATGGTGTAACAAGGAAAAGGACTCAATTAAAATTACCTGGGATTTATTTTGTGTAGAAAAGCTACTTTATCACCTAACAAAGACCACCAAACAGAACACTCATAATGTGCAAAACAAGTGAGGACTAATCTTTGGGAAAACAGAAACTTTTGCCAATTATTGATCCCTAATGATCATATTATCTTTAACCATGTAGCCTAGTGATTTGAATATTCTAAAGCTTCAATTTTAGATACACAAGATGGATTTGTACATGCCCATTCTCTTTATATTTTCTTTTTTAGTCACCAGCAATATTATTGTCAAATTTTATTTTATTTTATAATAATTTACTTGTCAATATTTATTAAACATGGCATGACAACCCAAAGTGCCTAAGAGAGAAAGGAAAAGAAAATATGAATTTACTTGTCATACTTTATTATTTTATTTTTACCTCCAAACCTTGATTACCCAATTTCACTCTTGGGACTTGGATCCGGGACTTCTGCTCCATTCCTCTTTCCACTTGGTTGAAGCTGCTTCGATGAAAAAGAAAATATTAACCCTCCAATTTATATGAGGGAAAGGAAAATAAAGGAAAGAAAGCAGGGGAAAAGAAAAATATACGTTATAGATATGATTGAAAAGAGAGAGTGATGGAAAAAGAAGATCGCGAAAGAAAAAGGAAGAGAAAAATAAAGGAATATCAAGAGAAAACCTCTTCCTTATTAAATTGATATTGCCTTCTCTAAAATGGTAGATTGAATTGAGATGAGATAATGAAAGTCCTCTAAGTAATCAAAGAAAGGCAATGCAAAGCAAGTGACATCACAATTTGGTAAAGAAAAAAGAGACCAAGACTAATCAACTAACAGCGATGGTTGTTGATATTTGCTGATCCTCCATTTGCCTGCCAATTTACCTCAAACCACAAAAATATTAGTTGCAATCCATGTACCGTGGATGCAGACAATGATACCTCCACATGACAAATTTTTAAAATGTAGAACACCGATATGGACTTTTCAAGGGACCTAAATAAATATAACTTCAAATTACAATTCCAATATACTCTCAAGATATATCTTTTCCAGGTGTAGATACCTGATTCGCATCGGTTGAATAGTCAAAAAAAAGTGGTCTAGGAATATATCACGAAGTATTACGAGGAATGTAGAAAGGTGGAAGAAGGGAGAGAAAACTAGTCCAGTCAGAGAATTGGAACAATGGTAGGGAAGAAGTTGCCGTTAGTTCCTGCCCCCCTTTTTCGACATTACCTTCTTTTTATAATCCTAGGTCATCCGGGTGGTACATTGTTGGGCCTCCATGCTGAGAATGGGTCAGGGTCATTCCTTTTTTTGGTCATGTTGCCCTAATCCCTACATTTTTGGATCCACTGCCAAGTGTACCTTTCCTGGTGAATAATCCAAAAATGGCAGGTTGTAAAGGCAATTGTACTATTCCAACTGTCTTTTGCTCTTATCCTTAAACTGGGTCTTGCCTTAATGGGCAAGACATTACTAATTTTCCATCCTCCATTCCAAAATCCCTTCTGTATCCCAATGTCGCTTGAAGAGCCCTACCATAACTCTTCGTTGCTTGGATCGAGGTTTAACACCCACCAATCGATGGTTCATGGCAGTGTCAGATCGAGGTTCAAGGCCCGTCGATCGACAGATTGTAAAAAAAGGTCAGATCGAGGTTCTAGACCCGTCGATCGACAGATTGTGAAAGAGTTGGATCGAGGTTCCAAGCCCGTCGATTGACAGATTGTGAAAGGGTCAGATCGAGGTTCAAGGCCCGTTGATCGATGATTTGTGATTAACAGATCGAGGTTTAAGGCCCATCGACCGACAGATTGTCAAAAGGTCAGATCGAGGTTCAAGGCCCGTCGATCGATAATTTGTGACTCGGATCAAGGTTTTGATCGATGATTTGTGATTATCAGATCGAGGTTCAAGGCCCATCGACCGAATGTAGGGCTAAGATTGAGGCCTAGTGATCGACTATCACATGCCTTGCTGAGGTGGACTTTGTCAAAGTGTTGACAGTTTGACTTGGCCCTTGGTGACGTGGCTTGGCTACGTCCACATTTAGTCCCCCTGCACGTGGCGTTTTTGAATTTAAAATAAAAGGATAAAGCGGCGCGTGCATAGAAGACGTAATAATGTCTTGCTTTGGAAACCGATGTCTTTTCGGCTGCTGACAGTTACTTATTTAATGGGGAGGTGATGAGACACAACTGTTCGGTGTCTTCGTCTTCTCCAAAGCTCTAACCGTGGTCTATATATAGAACCAGGTCAGAGAGAGGGGAAGCCATTACAGAAAGAAAAGAAAAAAGGGAAATACAGTGCCAAGCCAAGAAGCAAAGTGGAGTTAGCGTATTATGTTAAACAAACGCGTGTGTGAGGGCAACAAAGCTATTATTGTGTGTAAGAGTGGGTAAGATATTCGATAAAATGACAAAGAGAAAACAGTTGAGCAAACCCGGTGAACCAGTGCCGGAAGTACTGTCGGAGGAAGAATGGAAGAGGGCTCCGTTCTTTGGACCTATGGATAGGTTCTGGACAGCTACAGGAGACATAGCCAGTGACGAGATTAACAGTGATGTGGCCTAGTTAATGGAAATCGATGTCTTTTCGGCTGCTGACAGTTACTTATTTAATGGGGAGGTGATGAGACACAACTGTTCGGTGTCTTCGTCTTCTCCAAAGCTCTAACCGTGGTCTATATATAGAACCAGGTCAGAGAGAGGGGAAGCCATTACAGAAAGAAAAGAAAAAAGGGAAATACAGTACCAGGCCAAGAAGCAAAGTGGAGTTAGCGTATTGTGTTAAACAAACGCGTGTGTGAGGGCAACAAAGCTATTATTGTGTGTAAGAGTGGGTAAGATATTCGATAAAATGACAAAGAGAAAGCAGTTGAGCAAACCCGGTGAACCAGTGCCGGAAGTACCATCGGAGGAGGAATGGAAGAGGGCTCCGTTCTTTGGACCTATGGATAGGTTCTGGACAGCTACAGGAGACATAGCCAGTGACGAGATTAACAATGATGTGGCCCAGTTAATGGAAGGAGAAGTGGCCGTGGAAGCAAGAGCTCGGCCACCGGCTGACTCTGTGCACCGATTTGCTATTGAACAAGGGATGTATCCCTTTTGTTTTATAGAGTTCAAAACGCCAGTGGGCCCATGTGCAAGATGGGATGAGTGGTCTGAGCACATCTTCAGCCACAAAATGTATATGCTATGGCTGCGACAAGCACGAGTTGCACGAGCCATACGTCTGTCCCGCAAATTGAAAGTGCCTCGCGATACCCCAGGATTGGAATTGCTAGTGTCAAGATGGTGTAGTGCAACCCACATGTTTGTGGCGAAGTGGGGAGAATTTACACCTGCATTGGAAGACGTGGCCCAATTACTTGGCCTGCATGTCATGTGTAGAGGATTTACAGTGCCCCTGGCGATGGATGCAGCGGAGAAGGGTATCATGGCTGCATTAGAGGAAGGGTTGGAGAAGACCAAGAATTATGGATCCTTTTTTAATGGGAAGAGGGCTAGACGCGAAGAGAGAGCGGAATGAGCCAGAAAAAGTACAACAGGAGCCTGGATACGCTACTGGTTCAAGGACCTGCAGCCTTCCTTCAAGGGGGACAAGTCAGAGCGTCCCTTTGTTGATGGAGACAAGATTGGACATCCTGCAGAACTCGCAGCATATGTACAGTGCTGGTTGTCCAAGTATATATTCCCAGGGACCCCAGACGATACACCCTTGAGTCGATGGTACCTGATAGCAATGAAGATAGCAAGTGGGATTGCGATCCCATTGGGGCCGTTATTCTTGGGGACATTGTACCATCGATTGGACATGATTGCTGAGGATAGCACGCGCTCGACTGGTCGCTACCCCATGGTGTCCTATGTAACAAGTGGGTTTTTACAGATGTTCTTGTACGAGAGATTCCCCGCGTATGGCCCTTTACCCTTGAAGTTGAGCGACCATGGGGCACGAGGAAGACGTTGGTCAGGACGGATGTGTAGGCAGGCACTTGGGGAAATGATTGACTCTGAGCAAGAGTTTGTGTTCAGACCCTATCGAGAGGAGATAGCAGAGGTGGCGGACATGGGGATTTATTAGGAAGATGCAAGAGTGTTCACGCCAAGGCAAGAAACGGGGGATGCAGATGAGCAAACTTTTGCCTTGGTGGTGCTGCCAGGACATCTGCCCCGGCGATTTGAGCTGGGCGATGTGAGCAAAGTGTACAACCTGAGGCGGGTACCCAGGCAATTTGGGTATGATCAAGTTGTTCCAAGCGACTATGGCTTGGAAGAAAGATATGATGAATTTGAAGAAGTCTTATTCCGGTATAGTGTACTATATGACCTATCCGAGGAAGAAAATGGCAGTATCGTGATTCCTTCGCGAAATCGCCATGGGGATATAACAGGAAAATACACGCGATTTTGGGTAGATTGTGTGAGGGCCTTCAGGAGGTTTTGCCTGCAGACTCCTCGCCCTTTTGCTCCTATGCCTCTATACAAGGATGATGTGTCCCTGCGCATGCCCGGGCCAGGAGTGCGAGGCCATAGATCGATAATGGCTCCTTTAGCTGCAGAAATGGGCGATGTAGCGTATGATGTTGTGCCTATGATACCCCCGGATTTCCGGATGCGGGTTGGCCAGGCCCACGCCCGATTACCCGAGGATATCAAACCAATTAGTAATAAACGAACACAGAATACAATTAAGGAAACATGAATAAATAAAAATTTGCTAAAAAGAAACTAGAATATTAATCCAAATATTGAAACCTCAGAATAAAATTAAATTAATAAAGAATTATTCTGATACATCCAAATTCTCAATTTATAATACAACTCGGGAATCCATCTGGTGGACCCCTAAAAACTCCAACACTGAAACCATCAACTGAAGAACTCCACTGCTAAATCATGAAGAAGCTCATACGTCGTCAAAAGAATGAAAAGCCGTCTCTGCTCAGCACGAACAAGATCTAAGACCTTGAACCGTCCGTTACCTGAAAAATAATAGTAGGTCAGGCCCACGAACAAGTTTTATCCTAACTACAATCCAAATAGAGACCCAATACGCAGATACATCCTAGATGTCTCAACCATATCTATATAGTCCAAAATAGATAAATATATATCCACACTACAGGACTCTCACTAAACTATGCTGAGGGTTTCAACCTAAATAGAAGGCAACATGCAATACGCACCTGAGTGGGCATGACTACCTAAGCCTAACAGGGTATACCTCAACCAACATAGCTAGCTACGCATCCTACTGCATATGCGTACCCTAACCGTCGACTATGAGACTCAAGCTCAAATCGCGGTACCATAATTTACATATATAAATTCCCATCCAAACTAATGTAGTGCCGCTTAACTGTCGTTGCCATGACATGACATAAAATTAGGATTTAAATGTTTTAATTAAATCCCTATCCCATTTCTATATACGAGTTCCCTCCAAATATAATGTTGTGCCGGTCAACGGTTCATTGCTCAAGACACAACATGTAATCAGGATTTAAACGTTTTAGTTAAAACCCTATCCTTCGTAATACAGAAATATAAACAACCATCAAGTATGTCGTTCAATTGTTTTAGTTTACAGGACATGAAACCATGTAGGATTTAATTGTTTTAGTTAATCCATTCCGTATGTATTAATGGGTAGGAATTAGCGTTGTGACCTAATCCGTCCCTCCGTATGACACCATCTCATACCGGTGCATACATGCAAATGATCCGTTAATGATACAACATTATAAATAGTACATCAAATAAAGTCCACAGTATCCATATAGTTGATAAACACAGACTTTAAACAAGTCATCAACTAAAAA